GATTTTTACTTCTCAGCTTAAGCATCACAGGCTAATGAAAACTTGAGTGTTATTCTTATATATATTATGAATAATGAAGTTTTTCAAAATATCATATCATTTTTTTTGGCAGTTGGATACACGATGTCGGTGTAAAACTGGTGCAACCAGAGTGATCATGGGCTAAGGACTCAAGGTTCCTACAGACAAATGTATTCAGGAAAACAGGTCTAAAACTTGTTGGGATTTATTGCTAACCTAATTTCCTCCTTGTATTTTCTTAAACAATTCTAGAAAAAAATGTATAGAAGTCATTATCTAAATTATAGCCCAGTTAACGATACAGATAATTATAATACCAGAGAAAATATAAGTTGAATGGTAGCTATAATCTTCTGACTAAAGACCTTAGTCCCAGGGCAAATTGTAGGATGTGTCACAATACAAGCATTGTTTCTTTTTTGTTTTACTCTGAGTCATAGAGAATTGGATTATTATTACTGTTTCTGTCTGGGGAAGCTTTCAATTGGGATTTGGATGGACCATAGTTTTTCCATCATGATACAAAGACTAAAGTACAAGTCTCTTTGAGGGTGGCCTTGCCACCACAGTGGGCAGATCATGGTGACAATTTCATTTCTCCATGACCTCTAGAAGCTGTTATTAGAGAGTGGTTTCTTGTACCAGTCATTTTTGTGTGTATGTGATATGTAAGAGGAGATAAAGTAGGGCAATTTTTTAATGTTTTTTTTCTTCTGTGGATTGTGACCATTAATACCTGGAGTAAATATTACGTTACACCCTGAGCGAATCACATCTGAATATGGCACCTGTAGCTTCCTGTCCTCTGCTCTTTATCACAGAGCAGAGCCCAGGGCCTGAGTCTAACAGGTCAACAGAAAAGGATGGATGAAATTAATCCTGAAATAACTAAAGCTTCTGACACAGATATTTTTTAATGTTTGAAGATTCCAAGTCTTAGTATTTGCTGCTTTTGCTAAGACTATCCTCAAAATGTAGCTGGCTTGGATGGATGACTGAATTAAATAACTTGATAGTTCATTTCAAAAGATAAAGTTACAGGAATAAATCTCAAAGATATAAATGAGACTAAACTAAATATATATTCATAGTTGTGCACACACACTCACATATTTACACTTTCATAAAATCTCAAAATTGTCAACAAATGGCCTGAGGACTATAGTTTAGTTGTATGCAAATCACAAGACTTATTAAACATGAGAAACTGCTATCATTAATGACAAAAAAATGCCTGGTCCAAATACGGGGCTAGACTGACTTGATTTTGTTTGAAGGTATGAGTCAAAGGCCTTGAACAACAACAACAAATTCATGAGAACTTTAACAACCTGTGTATGCAGAAAGCACAAATGGGGAAAATTATAATATTTCATGAAATCATCATGGGACAATTGTTTGCAAATTGGTTTCTGAAGGGCTTTGAAATGTTGCTTTCGGATTTGAGTCTCTCTGGAGAGGACATTTTGTTAGCAATTTTGGGTAATTGTTAAAGTTTCTTCATGATATCTATTTTAATGGGCAGATTCAGAAGGTTCATTCTGGGTATACAAACTCGACTCTGCTTAACACTGATCAGACTCTTCCATGAAGTCCAGATGTTAAGGGATTCGCTCTTCTCTCCATGCATTTTTCATACTCAGGTCTGCTTTCCCCTTTTCACTCCTCAGCCATTGGCCTTGCTATTCGCCTCTCAACACTCCTCTGGTCACCCCTATATAGGACTTCAGCTTTCTTTTTAGCAGCATTTCTCCCAGTGCTTTTTCTTGATTCTCCCACGGAAGGTGGCAAGTCCTGAATTAGAGGGTCCTGGGGAGGGTGTGGGGTGTAGATGCGAGAACACAATCCCCAGGACTGAGATGTTGTTCACATGGCTTTGGAGAGTTGGTGCAGCTGTTTGCTCATCTGTGAAATGGAGATTTAAAAAAGGACGCTCCTTTCAGGGTTTTGAGGATTAAATGATATAAAAAAATGCATGTAGAATTCTTGGCCCCATGCCTGGGAAAGAACCAGAATTTGAGAGAGGAGAGCTAAGATGCAGGTCGCTGATCCCCTGCATTACTCACTTTGTTCCACAGCCTTCACACTATCTGCCTTGTTCCCAGCACCCTCTTTGTTTATTCTTTAACCCCTACCCCAGTCTTATAAGTTGGACCTGATCATAGGATCTCGGGACCTGGCAACTGGAAAATAGTTCACATTTGTGTTATTCATTTGGTAAAAATCTTCCATTCTGAAGAAAACTACCAGGGAGAGAAACACAAAGTTACTGAGTTAAGAAGCAAATTCTTGGTCCCTGGATCTGGTCGTCATTCTGGAGTGATGGCTGACTCCATGTGTTTAAGTGCTTCTCTTGTGACCCAAGAGTATACTTCTACTATAAATCTCTATTCACTTCCCCAAACATCCATACACTCTCCCCAAGCAACTGGCACCAGACATTTTCTCAGAGTTGGGCCACAGAGAAGATAGGCTTAATGTTAGAGGTGTGTGCGTAGGGCCAGGACTAGACAAAGCCTGTCCTGGGTGAGGTAGGTGAGTAAGAACCATGATAGATTTGATTTACAAAATTTCTAGTGAATCTCCTAGTTGCAACTTCTAACATCTTTTCTCATTAACTCTACTCAGGTGAGTTTGTTGCTGAAATTTTCAAAAGGCTGCACAGGTGGCAGACATGTACACAGAGGGGGACCCCCAAATAGATTAAGTTTTAAATGTAGGGCCAACAGGAAATCTTCCTTTTCATCTTCTGAAAGTTCACAGGGATGACAATAGATTAAACAGGAGAAAAGACACAAATGTGTCATAATGTGCAAAATCACAGGAGTCGTGCATCAACTGAGATGTTAAAGAAGTCAAATGGCTCAGGTTGAATACCTCTTTATAAGGGAGGTAGTGGAGATGAAGGCATATTTTAAGAAAATAGCAAATTAATTTTAGGGAGGTGTCGTCATTGACTGGGAAAGAATACAAGGATGTGGAACAAAAGACTGTTTGACTTTAGAACAAGAAACAGTTTCTAAGTTGTTCTTTGCGGGATATCGAACAGGATCAAAATAAAGGCCAGTGGCATGTGACAAGGTTCGTTCAGGTGTGTTGACAGGCATCCTCTCTTCCTCACTGGAGTTTGTTCTTGTGTAGTTATCTGGTTAGTGACACTTTGAGGAAGGAAAAAGGAAATCCTGTTTCTTTTTGTCATATCTGGGAACTATACAGAAATTGTTTTTCCTGTGTTAGGAGGAGATGAAACAGGAAATTCAAAGGTACCTTGATTTTTAGGTAGATTTTAAAGAAATCGTGTGTGGGGGCATGTCTGTGTGTATAGGTGTGTAAGTTTGTGTGTGTGTGTGTGTGTCTGTGTGTGTCAGTGTCTCTGTGCATGTGATCAGACTGCTCCAGGGTTTCTCCTCAGCACTCAGTTTTTTGCCAGGGTGGTGCTGGGACAGAGCTCAGGTCCTCATGTTTGAACAATGAGCATTTTATTAATTTAGCTATGTCCCCAGTGGTCTCTTGTCATTCAAGGTGCCTCAGTAGGCCAAAGCATTAGTTATTAGGAGTCATTTTCTGAGTTCTGAAATGCCCTCCTCCTGATGCAAACTGAGTTTCCAGCATGGTGCACCAGCAAAACTACCAACCATCTAGAGTTCCATGGTTGCACAGAGAAATGGAGGCAGGGATTACTGAGCTGTGGGTTTCCTGAACTCACACCTGTGTTCTGCTGCCTTGATCTTGTGGGTAGAAACCTAGGACTCAATTGAGGCACTCATGGATTTATCTGAATCTAATGGAAGCTATCCTGGAGTCCCCACCACAGGATTTGGAGCAGGGGAGGTTGGGGATGTTTTTAAATGAGTATTATGTAGAGAAGGTAAAGGCGACTTTCCCAGTCTCATTCCAAGTTGTGTTTTGGTATAAAACTTTTCCATGGATTGCCAAGGCCTCTTCACTGACACCCACATTCAGGGGGTCTGGATCAGTCCCATGGTGGCCTTTCAGTCACCAGTCTGGGCTTCAAGGGCTCCCCCTTGTTCAGGTCAGCCCTCCCTAAGGAGTGGAGGGGGAATGGGGTGGGAGGTTGGGGAAGTTGTTGGGGGGTGGGAGAGGAGGGGAGGGTGAGAGAGCTGGGATTGACATGTCAAGCAAGCTCCTTTCTAATTTAAATAAAATAAAAAAATGAAAAACATACAAACAAAAAACCCCCCAAAAAACAAATAACCAAACCAAAACAACAAAAAAACCCTTTCCATATAGGACTGAACACCAGCAAATCACAACAGACTAGTGCCACAAGAATGAGGAATACAGTGTGGAGGGGGCCTGACATTCCTGGACAGAGACTCAGTCAGGACCTAGGGCAAGGCAGGACCCTGAATTCATTTCGGACCAGAGATCCAATGCACATCACATTATCTTTGCATCACAAGACCAGCAGAATGAAATACAAACCATTCACACTCTCAAATGCATTGGGAGCTTCCAGAGATGTCCACGGTTAACTTTTCATTTACTTAAACTATAACTGTGGTTTAAAATTTTAAAAAATTCCTTTTGATATTGATTCTTATCATAGACAATGGTTTGAAATAAAACAGCACAGCTGGTTCTTGACCCGAATCTACTTTTGAACAGTCATACTGAATTCCTGAAAGTGGAGACTGAGATGCTTCCAGATTTAACTTTTGCTATTGAACCTGGAACAGTAAGACTTCACCACTGCTATTAATGTATAACTTATCATAAAATGACATTGTATCACTTTAAGTCTTGTCTAAGAAACTAAAAACTCTTTGTACCTTGCCCCTGTGCTTTTTGGCATTCTGACATCTCCAAGAGGAACAATTGTTCAATACGTAAAGTCTAAACGACTCTTTTTATTGAATAAAGTATTGTGTTATTGAATGAGTCACAAAGCGGCAGTCTCCTTTGCACATTAACTTTGAATCTGCTGCTTAGAGTAAAATCCCGATTTTTTCTTTCAGATGCTAATAACATACTGTCCGGGCTAGGCAAGGTTATTCTCTAAAAGGAATTGGTAAGAATTGGTTTGCTTTCATTATTTATCTGCTTAATAATGGTTTCTTAGAGTCACTGAATAAACTTTGTTCCTTATTGTCCATTATGGTAATTTAAACTCAGCTGGTGCTTTTTCCATTTTTGGTGAGTTATTGTTGGTTATATTAAGTAAGATATTATTAGTTGTTGTTACAGAACAATTAAGTGAAAAGTATGCTCCTCTGATGACTCATGTTGTGTCGGTTTTTAATAAAGAAAATGAAATGAATATATTAAATTAATACTATTAAAATTATTAGCACATATATAGTATTTCCCAAGTGATTTAATATTGTGGTGAGATTGTGATACTCAGAGCAGACAGAGTTAGTTACCTAAGTGCTTCATATAAGGCATTAGATCCAGTGGTCTCAGATGGGTTGTCTTGCATGAGTCATTGTAATATTTGTAATCTCTGCTTCCTCACTTGTAAAACATGGTTGAAACTCCAAAAGTGTCAACATCAGGAATAGTTGTGATATAAAGGCAATGAGAGCAGTTTGGTGTGTGTACACCGTTTACCCTACTGAACCACACACATGCAAGTTAGTATTGTCACATGAACAAGTTAATTTTAAAAGTTACAATTGATAGTTTCTTAAAACACAGTTTGGAAGAGTGAACGTCAAGTCCAGAAACTGCAACTTAATGATCAACTTATGTGATTGACTGTATCTTGGCTGCATACAGTCTCTCTGGTGGGGGGAAGGGACAGGGTGACTGGAGCCTAATTATCTCCATGACCTGTATAACCATGATAATGACTTTCTGTGCAATGTGTTCAATTAAGTGGGATTTAGGCTTGTAGCTCCATTAAAAGACCATTGAAGGGAGCTTTTCTGACATTCTCTTTCCTTTCAGGGCCATGACGCCACTGTAATCTTAAGAAACAATGGGAGATACAAGTAGAGACCACCTTTGCCTTTTCCACTTTCCTGCTTAATGCCTTGGTTCCATGCTGTTACTGCCTGGTGAGACAAAACACACCATTCAATCAACAATGAAACCTGGAATCCAGACATAACTGTGACAATGATGTGCACTGCTCATCTGTGCCCTCAGTGAGGATGATGCTTATCCACACTAGTGGATGATTAGACCCTTTACTCAATCTACTGAGTCTAAGTGTATTAAGAGTGGAAGTGACCTAACATTCTAGTCTTATTTATCTTTTAAAACCTTTCTATGTGTATATATGATGTGCATATGTGTGTTCACATGCATGTGTACTTATGGGTATGTGCACTTCACAGTGGTGATGCGATGACAGCCTAAGTAGTCGGTCCTTGGCTTCTACATGACTTGAGACAGGGTCTCATGTTATTCACTGTTGTGTGTGCCTGAATAGCTTGCCATGAGCCTTCATGGATTCTCCTTTCTGTCCCCTATCTGGCTGTTGAAATCTAATATTGTAGATGTGCACTACTGGGATTGGCCATCCAAATCTAGTCCCACATGCTTGCACAGAAAGCATGTCAACCACTGAACCATCCCTGCAATTCCAGTATGTTTATTTTAACAGCTAGAAAAATTGGAGGTAAGTGATCAAAAGAAATTATGTGACTCATATAGGTGCATATTTAGTTGCTTCTGGAGTTTCTAATTCCTAGGTGGACTTATTCTAACACACCTCTCTGCCAGCTAAGATTAGATAGTCATTTCATGCATGTTTGTATTCAATATGCATATTCGTTGACCTTAGACATTACAAGGAAATCACAAACAAGTACAATTAGTAGAACCATAGCACTGGCTACTATTTCTTTCCCTCCAAGAAGACTTCAAACCTAAATCTATGCCTTTTTCTCCTCTACTGTGTCATTAACTTCAGGCTATGGTTATTACTGGATTCCAGTTTTCTATGGAAACAGAACATTTTGCTGTGTCTTACCAGCTAAGAAAGCAATGTTCTTGCTACTAGAACTGAATATGAAAATATAATTTTGATAAATTTGTGCTGGCTGGCCAAACCAATTCCACTGCTGTCCAAAATATCACAAAGAATATGATTGAATGTTTTCATACTTTAGAAAGCATTGCAAGAAACTTTTTCTGTGTTGATATTTTGCCTGTAGTGTTTTGTGATGTTAATTTAAAATAATTGGTTCTTCTTTTGAAGGACTACATACTGTGATGATTAATTTTGTGGGCCAACTTGACTGGACTAAAGATATAAAGAAAGCTGATGGAAGATTATATCTGGGTTTTTCTGGGCAGATGTTTCTGGAAGAGTATTTGCATCAGTGGACAATAAAGAATATACACCCTCATCAGTGTAGGCTTACATCTACTCCATTGAAGACATGTATAAAAAGAAGCAAGAATGATGAATTCTCCCTCTTTTAATACCATGACATATATCTGTTCCTGTACATAAACATCAGAGCTCCTGGACTGAACTTTGGGAATTACAACAACTGTCTCCTGTTGCTACCATTCATTCCTCAGTCCCATGATCATACAGAGCCACCTGGAGATACAAGGAGAAACAAGATGTGCATGCTGTACTGCAAAAAGGTACAGAGGCTTGTGGTAGAGCATAGATAAGAAATATGGATTAGTTTAAGTTGTAAAAGCTAGTAAGTAACAAGCCGAAGCTATCAGCCAAGCATTTGTAATTAATAAGTCTCTGTGTGGGTATTTTGAAGATGGCTGGTGGATAGAAAATTCTGCCTACACATAGATCTTGGAGGAGAACTAACATTCATCATTTTACTAAACTAATGTAACCCCAAAGTATAATCTAAATAATTTGTTCTTGAACACACAGATAATTGTAGTCCCCACCCTGCATCAAGAAAATTTCTCAGTGTCACAGATGGAGACTATCTCAGAAACCCACAACCAATGACAATGTAAAGCTGTGGAGCCCAGAACCAGTGGATACATCTAAAACACAAGTCCAGCACTTATGCCTTCAGAAACATTGCAGGAAGATTATAAGAACTAGAAGATCAGAGAATTTTCTGTGAAACAGAATTTTCTATTAATATCAGAAGCTATAACCATATAACCATAAAATCTTATTCAACATGAGTACTTAAACATGAGCTGAACAAGGACAACAGCAGCAGACATGCCAAAGGACAGAAGAAACAGCCATGGAATCTCAATTTTATACACATAACTACAGGCAGCTAAAAGAATGCTGAGTGGGAGAAGTGTTTTTTCCTAGGGAAAGCCACACTTATTGGTTAACCATTATCAATGATTGATCCTGAAAACATACATACAAGTGTGTGTGTGTGTGTACTTAATAACAACTAGTAAAAAGGTCATAAATTTAAAAGAGAGCAGGAAGGGTCTATGGGAGGATTTAGAGCACAAAAGGGAAGGTGGAAATGATGCAATTCTATTATAATATCAAAATTAAGAAGAAAATATAATACATGTTAAAATAAGAACAATTGTTCACAAGCAGCAGAATCCCAGAAGCAAACCAAGGACAGCAATGATGTGTACTTCTGGGGAACCTGAAAAATTACCCGGAATCCTGAAAGACTCAGTCAATGAACCAGAGTTCCTGAAAGAACTCAGTTTTGGAAAAAAGAGTCCCAGCTGACCGATCAGCTGATTCTAGTTTTGATTCTAGTTTTAATAACCAAACCAGAAAGGAAAAGGAGAGTTAAGTATATGGCTATGAACAGTTACTTCATGTAGTCTCCATTAACAAGATTTAAGAAAATGCTTCAACACAATACACCAAATAAAGACACTGATAGTAATATCAGGTTTGCTGAAGCATGACTGTCACACCCCTTTAGTTTCAAAGGAATACAAGCATAGAAATAAGTTAAGAAGGTTAAATTATTGGATTTATGAAGAGAAAAGATTTTGCATATTACTTTTTATGTGTAATTTTCTTTATTATCCTTAGAGATCCTGGTTTATATTTATAAATCAAAAGCAATCTCTAGCTCCGGTGAAAAATGTAATTAAAATGTAGTCTGTTGCATATATCTATTGGAATAGATAATTTCAGGCAAGTGATTTTGATTAAAAATTTGGAATGATTATTGCTATATACATTGAGGTAAAGGAGGATATAAACTTTATAAAAAGCCAAATGGGTAAGAGTTTGAGATCTCTTTGAGCTGGAAATACTCAGGCACAAAGAGGGTACTATTTAGCCAGCCTGTTTATATCATAATATTGACCAAATGTGGCCTGGAAGAGAAGAAGTTTTGGATTTTATCTTGTCTTTGTCACCCCAGGAAGCACTAGAGCCATCACTGAGTTTGATAGGTGGGCTTAATGTATGAAGACAGGACAATCTCCTTCCAATTAATTAATCCCAATGAGCACAATAAATATAAAGGAAGATGGTGATGGGTTAACCAATGTAAAAGGGATTTGGAGTATTGACATATACTTTTGTTTGCAAAAGCTTTATTTTTATAGACTGGAAAGTACCCCTATAAATAAAAATTCTAGCTTTAAAAAAAGAAGTCAGCAATACAGAGACACCTCCCTTGATTGTCATCTGTCTTCTACTTTTTGCCTTAGTAGACGCACACCTGCTACATTCTCATGGAAAAACACATCTTCTGAGCCACATTTTACTTTATATGTTGGTTTAAAATAAAGGGAACAAAAAGATAGGTAACTGAACAGACAAGAAACAGCTGTTTTGTTTTATTCTGTCAAAAGCCACTCATGGCCTCTTGGGTTGGAGACTAATGGCCCTTCCTAGGAAACAGTCTTAACTATGCATTGAACTCAGCAATGGAACTTTATACCCCTTTGTTCAAAAGATAATAATCACACAAATGGACATCCTGCAACCTTAAAAATCTCATGCCTTTTAAAGTTATCTTTTTAGTGGCACAAGAAACAGTCCTTATAGGTAAATTCATGATTCATTACTGAAACACAGTATCTTTTTTGGCAATAGTTTTATTCTTTCATGCACACATCCATTTAAAAGTATTTTTGACTGTGTACACGAGATATTCATTAAGGTGCTAAGGAAACAGTAGCAAGTAGTACAGTACAAGCAAAGAAAACCCTTAAGTAAGGGACTTCACATTCTACAGCTGCATGGCAAATAACACCAAATGGCAATCAGCAGGCAGCCTAGCAGAATGTGAGAGGTACTTCAGAAAGTGCTGAAATGATGCTTGAGGGCTGGGGTTGCCTGGGACCTGGAATGACTGGGCAGAACTCATGAAAGGATAGGAGGGAGGAAATCATTCAGACACCCAAGAAGAGCAAACCCAGAAGGGTATGTTTCTTTATGTGTATTTGAATTTCCACCCAGTATCACTTTTCTTTCAGCCCAATCAGTTTTTCTGAATATACCTTGCCATGTTCGCCTGTTGGTGATGTGTTCATCTCAGCTTTTGTTTCTCTGATAATTTTTCCCTTCAGTATCTAATTGCTGCTGAAGGATACTTTTGCTAGGCTATTTTTCTCTAGTATTTTCTAGATTCCATCATATTCTGTTTGGGTTTGTATACTAATTTCTTTTCTCATTGCTTTGACAAGATCTTCAAAAGTGTAACACTTACTTTGTGACTCACAGTTGGAGGGAACAAACCATCATGGCAGGGAAGTCATCATGGTTGAACCTTAAGCAGATGGTCACAGTGCTTCTGCAGTTAAGAAGCAGAAAGGGTGAATCCTTGAGCTCAGCTTCCTTTCTCTGTTTTATTTATTCCTACATCCCCAGACCATGCATTTGTATCACCAGCATTTAGGGTGAGTATTTCCCCTGAGTTAACCTAGTTTATCTATTACCTCACAGGCATATCCAGTGGCTAACCTAAGTTAGACAATCACTGACAGACATACCAATGCTTGTCTCCTAGGTGATCCTAGGTCCTTCAGAGTTGACAGGCACCATTAATCATCACAGTTTGTATCATTTTTTGGAAGCCTGTGGTCATTTTGTTTGTTGTTCTCTCCCACAGTGTGTCTTCTTTTTTATCTGCTATAAACAAATACTTGCTTTACCACTGCATTTGTGCTTGAGACTGGATATTTATCCTGTTCAGTGTTCTTGGAGATTTTCAGTTCTGTAGTTTTATACTTATTATCAAATTTGAAATGACTTTTCGTCTCTTTTTCTACATCTTTTTTCTGACTCCTTCCTTTTGGAACTAAAACTACCTATGATAGAAGGTAGTTGCCTTCTTCTTCTTCTTCTTCTTCTTCTTCTTCTTCTTCTTCTTCTTCTTCTTCTTCTTCTTCTTCTTCTTCTTCTTCTTCTTCTTCCCCTCCTCCTCCTCCTCCTCTTGCTCTCCCTCCTCCTTCTTCTTCCTTTTCTTTTGATAGTAAGAAATATTTGGCCTTTGTTTATTGAAAACATATTGTTTTTAATACAATATATTCTGATCATGATTTCTTCTCTCCAAGTCCTCCTAGACCCTTCCTACTTATCCACCCACAATACTCCAGTACACCACACCTTTCACTCTCATTAGATAAAGAACAGGCCAACACCAATCAAACCTCGTGGTGCTTTTGGAGGGTATTTTTTTTTTCTTTTGCTTGCATGTTTTATCTGGACATTTTGCTACCTTACAGATCTTTTGCTTATATATTATAGTTTCCAATTTTGTGTTTTATGGGATTTCTGTATAAGCAAATGTGTTTTCCTCCACATCTGTATGTGCTGCTTGTGTTTTTTTGAGGGATGGGGGGCTGAGACAGGATTTCTTTGTGTAGCAGTCCTAGGTGTCCTGTGACTTGATTTGTCAGGCTGACTTCATTCTCAAAGAGATCCACCTGACTTTACCTCCTGAGTGCTGGATTTTTTGTGTTCCTTCTCCCTGAACCATAGCCTGGCCCTGCATATTGTTCAATACAGACATTGCTTCATATATTTTTCTGGGTTTCTTATTTATTTATTTATTTATTTATTTATTTATTCATTCATTCATTCATTCATTCATTCATTCATTCATTCATTTTGTACCTGACTACATTTCCCCCTCTCTCCTTTACTTACATTCCCTCCCCCAACCTCCCCTCTGCCATTCCACTCCAATCTACTTCTATTTATGTCCAGAAAAGGGCAGGCCTCCCATGGGTATCAACAAAGCATGGAATACCAAGTTATGATAAGACTAAGTACCACCCCTTGTATTTATGCTGGGCAAAGTAACCTAATGTGATGAATTTGTTCCCAGCCAAAGTAACAGGGACAGCCCCTGATCCCATTGTTAGGAATCCCAAAAGTAGCCCAAGCTACACAACTGCCACATATACATAGATGTTCTACGTCGATCACAGGCAGGTTCTCTGGTTGTTGGTTCAGATTCTGTGAGTTCCTATGATCCAGGTTAGTTGTTTCTATGGGTTTTTGGTTTGCAGCAAGAAAGCACGGGCAACCAACAATACCATTAAAAATAAATGGTTGGTGCTTAAATTAAAAATTTACCATTGAAACTGATATAAGTCTCACTATTAAGACATCATTTCTTCCTAATATTTTAGCACAGATTAATTTTTTGGATTAATTTGGGAGAGAAATTGTAGCTTTACAGAAAAAATTTGTGTTTTCCTGTAGGACTGCGAGGTTTTCTGAACTGTTGGTGTATGTGTTCATATTTTACATGACAATGCATATAGTTTTAGCAGCATTTGTTGGAGAGATTCTCCCTTTTCAATTGGTTGGCATCCTATTTTTCAAAAGATCTACAGAATAATACTCTCCAAATTTATTCTACTCCTTCAATATTGTGTTGCCTATTCTGGATCTTTTGTCTTCCACGTACATTGTAGAATCATTTTGTCAAGAGACATGGTAACTAAATACGTAATGGAGTACATGTAACAGTAAAGTAGAAGGACGGGGTGAGCAGACTGACAGAAAATGGGATCAGCTGTACAAGGTGAGAAACTGCAGAGGAAGGAAGAGGGGAAGAGAAATGAAGAATGAGAACAAAGCATAATGACATGTGTGGATGACAATGCCACATTGAAACCCATTACTTCATATACTAACCTAAATGACATCTAATACAAATCTTAATATCCCTAACCTAATTTGTCAGGCTTTTGATGAGTTGAGACGATAAATCAAAGATGGGAAGAATTGACAACAACAAGTTTTCCTGTTAATGAACACAGACTTTCTCTTAATATACTTATGTGACACTTATTTAGCTTTGTCATCATCCTTATCTGGATTTTGAGCCACTTATTTTAGTAACAGCAGACCTAAGTATTTCACTTACATATTTATATATGGTAAAAATGTGAAAAATTGCATTATTATTTCAAACTCCAACTGTCCATTACAGCAACCTGAGAAAATATTTCTGGCTCATGTTTACCCCTTTTCATGCAACCATTTTTGATGGATCATTATTTAAGGAAATTATTCTTTTTAAATGATTTTTTGTGATTTTCTACATAGAAAATTACATTATCTGTGAACAAAGACTGCTTTAGTTCCTTCCCAAATTTAAAGATCTTTCCTTTCCTTTTCTTTAATTTCTTTTCTTGTCTTGTATTCTTGTATTGCTGTATTAGCTAAGATATTGAAAAGAGTGAAAAGAGGGAATATCCTGTGAAATTCTAAGTATGACAACAGAAGAATCCACTGCCCTGTCACCAGGTACAGGTTAATTGTGAATTTCTGATAAACACTCCTTATTAAGTTGAGGAAACCTCTCTATTTTCAGCTGATTTTTTCTTAAGCTTGAATAGCTGTTATATTTTTCAAACACTTTTTTCCTCTCTGATACGATCATGCAATTTTTCTTTTCTAGCTGTTAATGTGAGGGATTTTACTAATTGACTTTTCTAAAATGTATGGAAATTAATCCTTGATTTGTTGTCAACTCTCTTTCATACTTAAATTTTAAATTGCTTCCCATGTGAAAACTATTAATTTCTTGCTTGTCTTCTGATGATGATACATACTATGATTTACTTACAGATAGTCTCTTGTAGTTGATATTTTAATGTGAGTATTTGTTTTGGTCTTGAATTTTGAAATTATGTCTCTCTATTTACCCTAGCCTGGCACTGAAACCTTGACTATCCTGGGAGAGTCTCATAAGTGCTTCATTATAGACATTTGTCACTATGCTCAGTTTCTTAATTTTAGTTATGTTTTATTAAAATCATTGACCCTGAACTGAACATATTAAGTGTATTTTGTCATGTTCATTATTTTTTGTAGAATTAACTTACAATTTTAGAGCAAAGAAGAAAATTATTTTAAGAATTAAGGTGTTAGAAATTGTATTCTGGAGATGATGAGTGAACCTGGATCACATTAATCCATATTGTTACAGTGCACTAATTAATTATTCTAATTTTTATTTTTAATGAGTCTAAACTGAGTATTATTAGCTCTCTAAGTATCTACAATACTGTGTATATGGTGGGAAAATTAAACCAGAATAAAGAACAATGATTATGTGGTTTACATTCTTATGGAGCATGTGAGGTAATGTGTTTTTACTTATCTAGCCTTAAAAAGTCTATACTATATATTTAACATCATACAATACACAATAAACACCCTAATTTTATTTGCCAATTTATCAAAATGTCTTAAAAAAGGAGAAGTGTGTTAACCATTGAAAAAAACGATAGTCCTTCCCCAAAGAAGTAAGTGCCTCCTGGTTGGCTATGAAACACTTTCCAGGTCTCTTGGGACCACTGACTCCAGTTACTTATGAAGAAATGCAGGCTGATGTTCATAATGGCTGTCTCTGCCTGGTCCAGGACTCTTCGGTTCACTCTCAGAGACTATGCAATGGGCTTGCTACTTGGCAACAACAGAAGAGACTTCACTACCTCTATGTTTCAAAACAAAACTTGTTGTCACTTGAGTCCCAGGAGTTAGGAAAAGGTAAAGTCACAGTCATAGTGGTAATATGAGAAACATAAATTACAAACTGCATTATGGAATTATGTGTTAATATAAAGAGCGCCAAAAAAATAGAAGCAGTTCCTTGTAAATGACTCTGCCAGCACAGTTTATCAGCTTGTAGTGATAACCAGCTTTACCTGTACACTGAAATTGCATTGCAGGAATCTCCAACCCATTGAGTTAAATGTATTTCATTTATAACTGCTCAGTGAGCCATGAAAGACCCAGGGGCATTTAGGAATCAGAAAAGCTGCCTTTCTTCTAGATGTTGTAATTGTTAACTACAGTACAAAGAATAAATGATAAATGAGCCCATGATAGATGAGCATGATATGAATTATATTTAGAAACTCAAATATAAACACATCAGATTATTTTGTGCTGGGATTTTTCCCCACCCCCAGCTCAGAGAAGGGGGTTGGTTCTCATAAAGCAAATTGGAAAAGAAAAATGGAAGATACACCCAAATGAATAAAAATGCATGTGGAATTCCAATATGCAAATGATAACTATTTCTTTTGTACACACTGCAGATGAAGAGCGGCGAGTACATGATCACAGCTGGAATTCACACTGGGATCTTAGACAATGTAACACCAGCAGCCACCCTCAGATCAGGCACACCCCAGCTGCTCACTTCACAGAGCCTACCTCCTCCTTCCCTCTCCTAACCCTTCACACCAGCTTCCTTCATTATTTTTTTTTCAAAAAGGCAGAAATGAAGCCAAAACCTTTTGTGTAAAGAAAAAAAATCACTATAAAGAGAAAAGCGAATCCTAAGCAGTTATTTTCTGAAAAAGATTTTGCTTTAAAATTAGAAACTCCCTCCTAACCAGGAGCACTTCAAAACACTTACTCTACATCTCAAAGACCCTTACTGTGTTTGCTGCATACTGGAGCACTGATGCGACCCTAATGTTTTGGGGGATGAATAACAGGATAATTTTTTGCATTGTTTAATCTTTTTCTCTTGTGCTTGATTTTTGCATTTTGTATGAATAAGTGTCTACCTAATTATGCTGCCACTAAGAGCAGCAGGCTGCATAAGCTATCCAGAAGTAACTAGAAAACTCCCTATTCCTCTCAGGTGATTGATTTGGTATTATGGGATGAATTTAATTTTTCTGGCCCCATGGCCTGTGTAGTACCCTCCAAATGGTATATCTTCATCTTTTGCCTAGGATCTCTGAATGCTGTCTTTTCGGGTTCATGATGCGATTCAGTTAACCTCCCGGGGAAGAGGACATTCTATTGGATTGTTTGGGTGAAACTTAAATGCCTTCATATGTGTCATAGTAGGAAAGACGCAGAGGGATTTTGGAAGATGAGGCAAAG